GTGTGTGTGTGTGTATGTGTGTGTGTATATATATATATATATATATATATATATATATATATATATATATATATATATATATATATATATATATATATATATATATACACACACATGCATTAGTCAACTGAACCTGCAATAGCCATTACGCCAGAAGACAGTTTCTCTATTCCTTTATTCTGGGAAAATTACTCAACTGAAAACCACATTGAATGAAAAACGACACTCTTCCCTTTTGAAATAAGACCGAAATAGTTTCCTCGAAGTATTTGGAAAAGGAACAACAGAGCCGGACGTATGTAATTCAACAAAATTCCTTTTCCTGTATTACAATGGAGGAACATAACGAGCGACTGCATTATATGTAATTCGCGTAATTTACGGAGGCACTAAATTAACTGTGAAGGACTGAGTACTCTGTTGCGTGTGTTGAATAACAGGAGTTTGTTTAGGCTTTATTTTAATCTATTTCACTTCTAGTTACCGCCATTCATTACATCAGAGGCTTTCCGCAAAGCAATGAACTTTCATGCGCAGCCGAGAGGGACTACGAGCTCAAGGGAAGCTGAATAATCCTGGCGAGAGGGGATACGAGCTTAAGGGAGGAAAAAGCGCGAGGGACTACGAGCTCAAGGGAAGCTGAAAAAGCCCGCCGAGAAGGGATACGAGCCCATGGGAAGCTCCAAGCGGGGAAAGGCCCAAAACACATCGACATCTAGCATGAGAAAAAACAACAAATCTTCCCCAATGATTTATCTCAGATTCTTCCTTTAATTTGTCACCCGCATAGCACTGCGTTCGAGATTCATGGTGTGAAACGAAGCAGTTATTTACACATTAAACGCGGGATTGGGTGGCCATGCCGTGGGAACTGGCAGGCGACGACAATGCCAAAAGCGTCCATTTGTAGCGCCTTTTCGGCCAGGCAGCGGACACGTGTGGTTTGGGAGACTGGGCGGGCGTGCAGTGCCGACGGCCCGTGCGTGGGAGAACTGACAGACAGCTGGGTGTGCGAGCGGAAAGATGTTAAAACTTATGTAGATTAAGGATTGCAAGACCGATTCAGGCCGTGCATTTACGCCTGTATTTGAATATCCAACATGTCTCTAAGAACAACGCCACCTACACGAAACCGCACATAGAAGGAGCCATTTACTCGAAACACCGAAATCCTACACCGGAACTCTCGGCGAACAGCACGCGCCGTGGCATCCTTCTTCGCCCAACGATAACCGCTGTCGTAAGTTTGCGATAATGACTCGAAAGCGTCCGGTGTTGACAGAGGCGGGGCTGGTGTAGCCAGTGGAACTCCTTCTTCACCGGTAAATACTGGGGTTTCTCGGCAAGATATAGCACAAAAACAGACACAAGTTCCTTTGCCGTTTGTCCGCTGAAAGGAGACAAAGGAAAAAGCAAAATGTAAACAAAAGCTGGAAACGTACCGGGGTTTCGGAGATTCGAAGCTCCGGGTTGTGTTCGTTTCTTCACGGGATTCGGGCGGTGATGATTTTTGATGTGAAAGGTTAGATAAGTAGTAACACGAGGAGGTGTCATGGCGTCTGATTCTATTTAAAAAAAAACACATGGGGTTTATTTTGTTGACGTCACAAAAGTCACGGATGCTTTGTAAATATCATATCATTTTCAAGAATGGAAATAATTAAATGGTTATATTTTCATTGAACAACCATCAAAACAGACGCCATGACACCTCCTCGAGTTATCTAGCCTTTCCCAAACAAAAACCGAAAGCGTCTCGTGTTTCGTTTTCGGAATTTCGAAGCACCGGATTTTGGAAATTCGAAGCTTGTTTTTTTTGGGCGGTTATGACGATGGCGATGAAAAGCTAAGAGTCAGATGGGGAGCATTTTGAGGTGATTGCGGGGTCCATCAGGGGAACGGCGTCGATTTAAAGCTTTTTTTTAGAAGCTTGTAATGTCAGGGTGCTTAAGCGGAGTGGGAGGGTCGAGGAAAAATAGTTAAGGTTTACCGTTGATAAATAGAGCGTTTAAGAAGATGCGATAAAGCGAACGGGATAAAGTAACAGAAGGAAAGAAAGAACAAAAAAGAAACTAAACCATACAGTATACTTAATTGGTCTTTTCACACACACATACATACATACAAACACACCCACACGCATAAACACACAAACCACACATAAACACACACACACACACACAACATACACACACACACACACACACACACACACACACAGCAGATTCTCCGACCTTTGACAGCCATTACTTAGAGCTCAAACTTACGGCTTTGTGAACAGCCCCGTCGCCCTTATGCCGCTGAGGAGGACAGTAGAGTTAAATGCTGCTCCGGAAGATCGTCAGATGGTAAGTGCTAATGGGTAATGGTGGGGGGAAGAACGTGCTATCAGGTCGTTATCTTGTCTCCTCGTTCAGGACTCGAGCCAAGGCAGGCTGTTGTCCTTCAATTTTTTTTCCGAGGATTAAAAAGAGGTTTTTCTCTATCTTTTTTAAGGATTGGGATTTGTTCTTCATTTTTTTATCATCTTTCTTTCTTTCTCCCTCTGTCTTCTCTCTCTCTCTCTCTTTCTCTCATTCTCTCTCTCTCTCTCTCTCTCTCTCTCTCTCTCTCTCTCTCTCTCTCTCTCTCTCTCTCTCTCTTATTATTTTGTATGCTGTTTTGCTGCCATTTCTATATTTGGACGTTTCCGTTTTTTGATAATCCTTTTTTTTTACCCAATTCTTATTTCTTAGAAGTTTGGTTAGGGATAAGAAAATGTTTACGCATTTTATTAACAAAATGTTCATTATTTCAATTAGTATACTCGTTAATTCCGTTATATCATAAGCGATTGCATTCAACTTATTAAT